TCAGTACACAGAAGGAAAATGTCATAATAAGTTAGCAATCCCTTGAATTCTGCCAGTGAGTAGAGTAAGTGTTTTCCTATGTATCTTTCTCTCCTTTACACGAGAGATAAATTGTAGCATTTTAGAACCTAGCATATATAACCAATATGTACATGTATGAATGTGTATAAATGTATACTACACATTACACTTATTTATATAAGCATAGACAAGATCAGCTTTGAAGTCTTTTAACCTTATATATCTTCTGATCTACTGAATGGCCTCAATTTCCTCCTCTCCCTCACTCTTTTTTTTTTTTTTTGTAAAAAAAAATGAATCCGAATCAGCTCTATAGTCCTGGTTATATAGTTTATGTCATCAGACTACAGACTAGGAACAACATCATGTGAATCAGTGGGAAAAAAAACCCACCAAACAGCTATAAGAGATTGAGACATAAACTGAATTCTGTTCCAGTGCATCAAAAATATGTCGTTTCCCATTTTGCAAATACTTATGCATGCAAGAATCCCCTCCAGGGTGGTTAGATGACTCACATGCATAATATTAAACACAGATACTGCAACGCTGAGGTCTTGTTTGTTGAATTCCCCTTACAAGGCCTTTTGGGCACGTGTGCTGCTATGGATAGCCCTTGCTCAGGTGTAAACCTGTCACAGCTCGGCCTGGAGAAGCATTTTGTCCATGAGATAACAGTTTAGTTTTAGAAGTAGGATCCTGGAGCATGTTTGTGAGGACCGCAGTCAGAAAGTGCACTGTGTAGACCAATACATTGATCGGGATTATTTACAAAGGGTAAACATCACAAAATAACAGAATTACACGTTTGTGATTTAACCTGCACTTCCAAGCTGCTCTCCATGGAATGGGTTAGTTTGGGTGCTCCTGTTGAATGGTCCTATGGTTCTTAATCGTAGAACCATAGAATTGTCTAGGTTGGAAAGGACCTTTAAGGTCACCTAGTCCAACCATCAACCTAACATGGATAAAAAAGCCAACCAACCAAACAAAAGAAAACCATACAACACCTGCCTCCCCTTCCCCTCCCCCCCCCCCCAGATTACCAACTCAATCCATCTTTTGAACACCTCCAGAGATGGTGCCTCAGCCACCTCCCCGGGCAGCCCATTCCAAGGCTTAATAACTCTTTCCGTGTAAAAATTGTTCCTAATATCCAGTCTCAACCTCCCCTGGTACAACTTGAGTCCATTTCCTCTTGTCCTATCACCTTCCTATCTCTTCCTTGGGAGAGACCAATCCCTGCCTCTTTACACCCTCCTTTCAGGGAGTTGTAGAGAGTGGAAAGGTCTCCCCTCAGCCTCTTTTTCTCCACGATGAACAACCCCAGCTCCCTCAGTCTTTCCTCATAAGACTTGCTCTCCAGACATCTCACCAGCTTCCTTGACCTTCTCTGATGGATAAAAAAGCCAACCAACCAAACAAAAGAAAACCATACAACCCCCCCCCCCATATTACTAAACTATGTCTCTAAGCACCATGTCAATCCATCTTTTGAACACCTCCAGAGATGGTGCCTCAGCCACCTCCCCGGGCAGCCCATTCCAAGGCTTAATAACTCTTTCCGTGTAAAAATTGTTCCTAATATCCAGTCTCAACCTCCCCTGGTACAACTTGAGTCCATTTCCTCTTGTCCTATCACCTTCCTATCTCTTCCTTGGGAGAGACCAATCCCTGCCTCTTTACACCCTCCTTTCAGGGAGTTGTAGAGAGTGGAAAGGTCTCCCCTCAGCCTCTTTTTCTCCACGATGAACAACCCCAGCTCCCTCAGTCTTTCCTCATAAGACTTGCTCTCCAGACATCTCACCAGCTTCCTTGACCTTCTCTGATCTTCTCTGGTGCTCCAGCATCTCAATGTCTTTTTTGTGGTAAGAGGCCAAAAACTGGACACAGCACCTGAGCTGGAGTCTCACCAGTGCCCAGTACAGGGGGACGATCACCTCCTAAGTCCTCCTCACCACGCTAATAGAAATAATAGAAAGTATAGAATTAATAGGAAGTATAGCTGGCTGTTTGCCATTTTGAGTGGCAAATCATGTTGTTTTGTCATTATTTACAATAGCAGTTCAGGGAAACCAAGTGAAATGGAGAAAAGAGCCTTTTGATTTGTTTCTTTAAGGAGTTGTTAGGCAAGCAGAGCTGAAGTGGATTGTGCTTTAATTGCTTTCAAAGGTCCCTGTCCTGTAAACAGACTGGCTCCAAGTTCTGGAGCCAGGTTCCTGCCTTCCTACGCTAAAAAAAGTGGGATTCTGCACAGATTCACTTCCCTGCCCTTGTGCTAACGTTTGCTGGCTCCAGGCCCAACACACAGGCTTAACTTCACATACGTTGGTCATGCCATGGAGCTCCAGGGTGGGAGGTGACCTTACGGAGCAGCTACATCAGGAACCCACACTATGTTATTCTTAAGGCAACACAGGGTGCTGCAACCTGAAAGAGAGAGCCAGCGGGTAGGAAACTTTAATGCAGGGGCAAATTAGTGTGGTGAAGGATTAGCAGCTCCTAAATGTGCAATGCAATTTTTGGATGTGATTAGTTTTTTAAGGTAAAAAAAAACACAAACCAGCATTGAGTATGTTTTTAGAATTCTGCGATATGTTTTCTGCAAAAATGTGCTTTTGTATTTTATGTACTTACTCTTAAAATGCAAAACAAATTTACTTAACTTCAGGGAATGGCAATATCTGGAGGATATAGGGAGTGGATGTCTTTGCCTATAGTACAATAAAATATCTTTAAAATTTAAAAAAAAAATAATTACCTGGCTTCATTGGATGTCTTGAGATTATGAATGGTACTGACTTTAAGTGATAAATGATAAATGTCTCTCCATATCACTTTTCTTTAGACAGTCTGAACTTTGTCACCACTTCAGAATGGCAACTTGTACTAACCGTGGTCATAAAATAATTCAGCACTGCCTGTATCAGAAGTGTATTTTTCACCCAGTCATACAAAGCATAAAATTTTTATGATATGGCGATATTCATGTGTGATGCTGCATGTCCTGATAATTTTATCTAATAAATGCTGGAAAAACGTACTATCTTACATCACTTACGTTAATCCAATCTCTAAAAAGAATATTTCTCCACCCTAATTTTTCCTGCATATTTATATCTCCATAGTATGTCATTTTAATGCTCAATGCTGGACCACAATTAAATGTAATATTTTTGATTCTGTCTGTGCTTATTCAGTATAAGTAAATGGAGCTAATTTAACTAACTTGAGCAGTGATAAAGAAATGACCTCAGAAAGGGGAAAATTTAAAGTGCAGGAGGGACTGTTGAACACTGTTACTTCTACAGAGCAGGGAAGAACCATCTATATTACATCAATATGTGAATTCATGCTTTCCTGTGTTAAAAATTCTGCAATGGAACAAAATGCCAAATTCTTTCCTGTATGAAGTTGCTACTCACATTCAAGTCTGTCACTGATACACCAGAAGTATAGATATTATTTTTAGCTCTTCTATGTCAGCTTTTCAGTTTGCTTCCCTAACTTCTTTCCAGAGGAAGGTATCATTCTTGATTTCCAGATGATGAAATTGAAACGTGTGATTTTTCTAAATCACAGGAAAACCAAAGCTTTGTCTGGGAGTAGAGTATATCTACCAGACTTCATGGCTTCCTATACACAGACATGCATAATGCCTGAGTATTTTGAATGGAAACATCAAATGTAGGTTCATTTCAGCAGCTGGCTTCCATCTTTTATTTACCTTGTGTGCTTTGGAGTATGTCTTGATGTGATTATGCTTTGTGTGTGGGATGGATGCAGTCAGATTTGGAAAGGAGTTTTGGTGCCATAAGATGGACATGCCACTGGAAGATGGGTGCCCACGTGCTTGAACCAAAGTCTCCATCCTTTTTTCCCAGTTCTGCAGGAACTGCCTGCAAGACTATTGATATTTTAGGTCTAGTGCTAAAGGCAGACAAACTGTGTGTGGCTCTTTGGACGTTTTTCCTAGTGAGAGTGGAACTAAATATTGTGCCAGTGGCTTGATCAGCTCTGTCCTCGCTGTCTGAAGACACCAGTCAGACACCATCCTGTGTGTGTTGCTCTCTGGTGATGGAGTAATGAGACAATGTCAGACCAAAATCAGGCTGCAAACTATCACTTGGGTGATGGAAATGACCAAGGAAGTCCGAGCTCAAATATGAACTCAAGTCACAATGGGACAGTTTCAGTGTAGCCTGGAATATCTAGGTTGCTGGTATGCACTCAAAATGTTGCTTTCCGTGCACTCGAAAGAGTTTATTCTGGTCTCCTTGGTTAGATATAGGTAGTTTGGGTCTTCAGCTGGTAAGATGGTACCAAGCCCTGTACAAAAAAAATATGAGCTAAACAGATGCTGCTCTGTCCTGCAAAATGATCCTATAAATTACTCATGCTCTAAGAGCAAATATATTTCCAAAAGAGATTTCTTGCCTGAACCTCCACTAATAGCAATACCTATTACATAATGCCTTAAAACATATACCTACTTTGAGGTAATAAACCTCACAATCAGTCACTGCGGCAAAGAGTGATAAAGCATTATCTTTTTACTCTCTTTTCACAGGCGTAGGGGTATATGAGCCGAGGTAAAAGAGTTTACTAGAGGTCAATTGAGAGATATTATGAGAACTGGTGTTAAAAGTAGGGTTTTCCAGTTCTGTTTGTATGCTTAGGGCTCTTGATATTGCTGCTTCATTGGTCCTTTTACTCTAATATAAATGAATGTGTTATGACAAGAATGTTAAAGAACAAAATTTCCGAAAGATTATTGTGTAATTATTTCTGTGTCATGCTACCTGTAAGATGAATGATTTATCTTCTCTTGGTAGATGAGTGCACATCAGCATTAGTGTGTTGCACACAGAATCAGAGAGAGGAAGTTTTGTCCTTTAAAGTTTTATTTAAAGAGGAGAAATGAGCGCGCTTTACAGCAAACACCTTTTCCTAATGCACTTAATAATTCTATGTTTCAGAGCAGTGTATGGCTAGTGACCTGTCTTCCCGAGGAGAATGGCCAAGATGTCTGTTTGGAATTATTCCTGGGATTAGACCAGCATGAGGTCTCCTCTACCAATCTGAGGTAATGCTGCTGAAAGGCAAGAAATCCAAAGTGATGTATGTCCAGCTGACTGTGCATTGACAGTGTCAACCTTGGAAAAAGTTCCACACGCCTGGGGCAAAAGCAAAATAAAAAAAATTAAAAAGCCAGGAGTGCGGGTAAACCTGGGGACATCATCACTCTATGAGGCACGGTAAACATAAAGTCCTTTCTGAGGGATATTTAGTGGTGGGAGCCAAAAGCTTCTCTAGGCAATGGGCAGATTTTATTACAGTGGAAGCCCAGACTTCTGCCACGATGAAGCACCTTCTTGAAGATTAACTGACTAATTATTTACCTAATAATACATGGTGTAATGGCAAATACAAGACCGTTGTCCTTTTCGGTTAATCTGTAGAGCCTCTGCAACCTCAGAGACTCCACCAGAGGAAAATCAGACAATTTAAAAAGAGAATGTGGACAGTTAATGTTATACTAATAGGATATATATACATAAAGGATAATGTTACTGCTCAGGCCTAAGCCTTCTGCTAGAAAAAACCCACTCAAATTCTGCTTTCCTTTAACCCGGTGTACACCAGAAGAGGTTTCGGTTGCAATAATTGCATATCAGGGCCAGCTTGACATAAAACGAGGGCAGAATCAGCCCTACTGGGACGTAGACACACAAGTATGATTTATTGGGTGATATGCGCGAAAACTAATTTTCTTGCTGCGGAATGCTCTTTTGAAGTGTTTTCTTTAAATGCTCATAGTTAAAAAGCAGCAGACAACAAGCCCAGGTCTGAGGTATATCCATCTCATTCGGCTTCCTTGAGGTTACATAAATTATGTATGCCCTCTTCACTTTGGTTAACACTCCAGTCTCGCAAAGATATTAATTATTATGTAATAACTTCCACTAATTGTTTCTCCCTTTAGAGTATTCCAAAAATTGGTTGTGTTGACAATAGTAAAGGATAATGAATGGTTGTTAAGATGTCTGTGGTACAAAATGAAATACTCGCTGCTTCTCCTAATGATTTCAGCAAGACAAAGTCGATATAATCTTAATGGTATTATAGGTACATTATTCTCCTGCTTTTTTGGGAGGAGGAATAACATTCAAATGTTTCTGTCCTCTATGCAACCTGAAAAATCTGCATCAGGCTACTCAAATTATTGTCATATAACACATTAAAATACACTGAAACACATTACAAACAATGCACAAATCCTTCATGTTCAGATATCCCATTTACTTCAAAGGTTTGACCTGATTTCAGTGGGAGCTCTGTAAACAGGGTGTTGAAAATCTAGGTTCTTAATAGTAAAGACATCCTGACTCCAAAAATACAGACGAAAAAAATCAAACACATTTTAAGAAAAAACTTGAACAAAGATGTTTTTTACAAGTTTGTCAGTTATTTCTTTCAGTTATCAAAACTCATGTATATACAAGTTAATATAAAATTAATAAATGTCTTCTGTACTAGAACACACTTGCGAGATTTAAAGGCTTCTTAACATCTCTTAAAGACAAATGCTGCTTCATTTCCCAATAACTTCCTCATTGAATACTTGCTGCCATGTCAAAATTTGTCAGAGTACATATATACATTTTTCATTAAGAGGAATTATGCGCATAATTATGTGTTTATATACATATATATGCACATCCCCCTCTAATTTCCGGTGGTCTGTAATTCTAGAAGTAAATGAAATGCTTGTGTTGTTTGGAGGGGTTTTCTTAAAACTTACATTATTCTGTAACACAAAAACCCTGTCAATTTCTTAGTTAATTTAAACAATATTCTATTGATTTGAAATTAAAAAAAAAAAAAAGAAAAGCTTAATCTCTTAAGCATTTGTATTTGTAACAACACTCTATAACAGTATTAATGAGATCAATGTTATTGCTCACCCTGGTCTTTTCTTAGACCATTCCTGGTGGTGGGGGCTGGTTCTGACTTTCTCTGCAGATGTAAGACCCGGAGGAAGCCAATAACAAGGACAGGCACAAGGATTTAGGTGGCCAGGCCTGGGTCCAGGCCAAATTAATCTATGTACCTCATTCGTTCTGACATCTCTTCTGGCTCTGCCAAATAGGTCAGAGGCTGGTGGTGAATTTGTGGTAGGCACAGGCAGGGAGAGCTGAGTGTGTCCCAAATAAAGCTACTTTTTTTCTTATTTTGTTTTGTGGGGTTTTTTGGGGTTTTTTTGTTTTTTTTTTTAAAGTAAGGGACCTGAGCAAAGCTCTATTGACAGCATCTTCCACTCTTCTGCCACTGCCACTGCTACAGCCTACTACTCACTGCTTTTGTGCTTCTTTATGCAAAAAAACTTCCCTGTGTTGAAACAGCCTTGGAACAGGCTGCCTGGAAAAGTGTTGGAATAGCCACCCTGGAGGTATTTAAAAGACAGGTAGAAGTGGTGCTGAGGGACATGGTGCTTAGGGTTTTGTCAGTGTAAGGCTGATGGTTGGACTCAATGATTTTAAAGGTCCTTCCAATCTAGACAGTTCTATGACTCTATTAATCTATGAAACCACCTTTCCTGTGCTGAAAGTGGTAGGTTTGAGTAACCATGAGAACAAATGGTAAAACACATATCAGCAGCAACCCTAAAATCTCTTATCTACCTGTTGTTTCACGTCACAAATGCTGTTCAGTTTTAATTAACTGACCAGCACACTCAGTTGTAAATGGTGTTATAGTTCTTCCAGGGTCTACATGTTACTTGAACTGGCAGTCCTTTTGTCCTCCTTTTACAGAAAAAGCATGTGGTGCATTGAAGTATATTCGGCAAAGATAAAAAAGCAAGCCCTTCTCCTTGCATGAAAACCTTGGAAAGTTGTAAGTTTGGGAGTTCTGTTGTAAGTCGATACAACCAAAAGTTTCACTGGAGGAGAATTGTGCAGTCGGGCTTTTGAAAGTTTGGCAGTGTAAGAATTAAAGCCTGCTTTTGAAGCCATTCTGACACTGTCACATACCGTTTTCCCCACTTATTCAATCAGGGGAGTTTGAAGGCAAGATCTTCAAAGCCGTGGCGCGGGTTTCCTTTCATTTGAGCCCACAGAGTAACGGGTAACCGAGGGTCAGACACTCTCCTGTACGTGGGCAGCTCTCGGAGGGGGAGGTGACACGTGCTTTGCCACCAGGTTATGCAGCAGAGACAGCAGAGAAACACCAGGCAGGGGGGCTGCTGGGCTCTGTCTGGGACTTGGGGTAGACTTGATAGCCCTGGAGCCCCTATGGGAGTTGTAACCCTATGGGAATTTTATTTGCAAAGTGGGTATTTTTTTTTCTTTTTTTTCTTTTCTGGACTACCTGTGAAGGGAGTATCATACTGAGAAATAAGGGCTATAAACTGAGCGGAATTCTTCTGAGCACGGTGGAAAAGAAATGAGAACAGAGGACAGACTTTTTGTTTCCTGAATCACACCTGAGTGTGCTTTCCTTTCGTAAATCAACTTTTTAAAGCTTGTGTTGTTTTTTTTTTCCCCTTAGATGTTATATATAACTCCCTTTGCCACAGTGAGAGTGCTATAAACATATATATATGTATGTATGGAAATAAAACTAGGAGGCAACAGAATATGGTGCATTTTAAAGCATGGGGCTGCAAGAATACCCTTAGAGAGCTCTGTCTGAAGATTGCAAGTCTGGTTCTAATTTTCAGAGACACTGGTTTCAGTATTTCAGCTCCTTCTCTGTTCTAAAATGCTTTTATGAAATTGTTAAAAATTTTGTGTTGCTTATATATCCTGTTCAAGACGTGGTGTAGAGCTAAAGCAATAGGAAAGTCATTGACAGACGTTTACTAATTCCAAATCCATTTAGCGTCCCAAGTGCCACAGCACCATGTTTTTTGTTGATAGCTCAGCCACCATCAGTTTGAACTTCTGAGTAATGAGAGTGGCAGTGTTAAAGGCCCAGTTTGAATTCAAGCTAATACCAGGCTACAATTTATTCATCACTATAGGGAAACAGTAGCATTTTGTGAATAAAAATACCTACTTCTGACTTCAGAAAAATGTTAACAACCACTTGCATGAAAACAACATCATTTGCTGTTATACAATGTTCTTTCTAATATATTGTGCAATACAATTTTTTTTTTTGCAAGTTTCAAAATAAAGAAAAAGCTTTTATTTGGTTATAATGTGAAAATGTATGCATCTGGATGAATATTTGTACATATATAAACAAAGATCGGGTTTTGACAGTAAAACTTAAACATTGCTTCTACCCACCACCACCGCTGACAGAAGGTAGGGTGAAAGTGATGGGAAGGCTGAACCTCCCAAAACTAACAGAAACAATCCCAGGGCAGGTCAGTCAGTACAAGCAGAGAATCCAGCAGTGAATAAACCAAACCCAACCCAAATGGATTTACCTCCTTTTTCACAAGCTGCTGAAGGCTGCAAAGATGACTTCCAGTGCTTACAGCTATTAGCTCCCTTCTGCATTAGAGGCTGCTGAATTCCTTGCACCGTTGTCAAGAAATGTTTGTTCATATTTTTGAGTCATTCACTGTAATTGGCTCCACTCTTCTTTGTTTAAATATTCCAAGACAGTAGTTTACTGGAGGAAACAGTCACTGCAACAGAAAATTTTAAACAAATATTACCAAACATTTACAATATGAAACCTTTTCATTCATAGTCATGAGTGTTAAAAGCCTCATTCCAAAAATAGCATAAGCCCAGTCAGAGACAGGAAACATCTTAATGTTACTTACATAGCCAAATAAGGCTACTGATTTAGAAATAATTATTTTAGAAATAATTATTACAGTTAATTATCAAGTGGCTAAATAACTAATATAACTATATATATATATAACAATTTGCAAATATATTTGTTTGTATTAATTATAACATATATATATATATAAAATTGTATTATCTCTTTTTTATATATCTGCTCTACTCTATATGCTTCCACTATGGGCTGTAGAAACTCTAGTGACTTCTTTAGTCCCCTTCAAGTCCCTGCAAAGAAAGATGACACTACCTTGGGCACAACCCTTTATCTCTC